TTGTACATAGGGTTGCTATGAGTCTCAAGCGACTCAACGGCACATAACAACAACATACTGGCCCTACAGAAAACTCCAGCAGTAAAGAGCTGTGCTGCCAACCCCAAAGCCAGTGGTTCTAATCCACCAACTTGCTCCATGGGAGAAAGATGAGCAAGCTCTTCTTGTATGATTTACATACTGACAAGATTTTAACTATCAAATTAGGTGGACAATATCCAAGACTTGAAATAAGCAGGAACCAGGAAGAAGGTGTTGTAAATGAAGCTATTGGTTAGGGCAACAAGATGACAAAAGCTGGAGCTCAATGACAAGAGAAAAGTGTCCCAAGGGTCAGGAGGAGGCCCTGGAATCAAGTATGGGCGCTCGTGGTTATTTCTTCCTACATATCCTATGGTTTAAGATCTTCCTACTAAGACTCAAGACACATCTGGACTACCTAAGATACTCTAAGGCCAAAAAAGGGTTGTATATTATTAGACGGAACATAGGTGAGCATAAAAGAGCATATCATGAAAGAAAAACAGCAGTTTGCTATTACTGTAAAAGCTAAATTTGTAGGGAAAGTTCTGTATTAAAATCAGTTGAAAGTGACTTCAACAATGAGGTTGCAAAAGGAGTTCATCTACTCTTTACAAGACTCCTATGAGTCCTCGCTAACAGGGGCATCTAACAACAATAAACGTAAGAACAGATTTTAAATGAAATAACAAACAATTTGGTAAGAGAAAAACTCAGAGCTTGAGACTGTCTCAGTATTAAAGGTGAAAGTGAAAAGATACACTGCTGAGCATGTTTAGTTCTTATGCTTTTAAATGCCATCGTGTCAAAGACAACTCATACTCAGATCTGAACCCTGTCTTGTCCTGTGTCATCCTCATGCTCTCTGACACACTTGAGCCCAATGCTGCAGTTACTGCATAAATCCAGCTGTTCATCATCTCTTTTGCTTTCCCTCCAACTTCCCAATCATGCTGTCTGTCTCCAAGGAATAAACTCATCTAGCAACATGCTCAGAGTAGGTGAGATGAAGCTTTATCACCTTTGCCGCCAAGGAGTACTCTGGCTGCACCTTCTCCAACACATAGTTGTTTGTTCTTTTAGCATTCCATGGGATCTTCAGCACTCTTCTGCATCATCATGCTTCAAAGGCATTAATTATTCTGTCGTTCTTAGTTACTGTCTAGCTTTCAAATGCATCACAAGTGACTGAAGAGACCATTTTATGAATCAGGCACACCTTATTCCTTAAAAATAATATCACTGTTCCTCATAATTTGGAGAGGTCCCTGACTAGACTTTCCCAGTGCAATACATCTCTTGATCTCCTGACTGCTGGTACTAAGTGTATTGATTTGTGGATTCAAGTAAGCTGAAGTTGTTGACAGTTTCGATCTTTTCTTCATTTATCATCACATTGCCTATAAGTACAGTGGTGTGGATATTTGTTTTGTTGATGTTGAAATGCAATCCATACTAAAGGGTGTAGTCCCTGATCTTCTGCAGCCAGCACTTCAAGTCCCTTTCATTCTCAACAAACAAGGTTGTATCATTTGCACAATCAATGTTATTAATGAGTCTTTCTCCAGTCCTGATAACACATTCTTCTTCATAGAATCTAGCTTCTTGATTATTTTACTAGCATACAGATTAATCAGGTATAAAGAATGGATACAACCCTGACACACACCTTTCTTAATTTTAACCCATGCATTGTTCCCTTGCTCTGTTAGCACACAGCCTCTCAGTCTAGGTAAAGGTTTTGCATGAGAACAATTAAATGTGTGGGATTCCCATTCTTCTCAGTGTTAGCCAGAATTTTTATGTTCCACAGTCAAATGTCTACACATAGTCAACATAGCACAAACACGTTCTTCTGATATTCTTTGCTATCAGCCAGGATCCATGTGACATCAGCAATGATATCCTTGATATCACTTTTGGTTCTTCAAAATCCATCTTGAACTTCTGGTAGTTTTCTATGTACTGTACTAGTTGGATTTTGAGTATCTTCAGCAGTATTAATATTTTTTAATAATTCCCACATTTGTTGATGACCTTTTTTGGGAATGGGAACAAACAGAGTTCTCTTCCAGTCAGATGGCCAGGCAGCTGTCCTTCAAATTTCCTGGCACAGACTGGTGAACATGTCCAGCGCTGTATTTGCCATTTGAAATAATGTCAATTGGTATCCCATTGATTCCTTGGGCCTTATTTTTGCAAAGCAGCTTGAACATCTTTCATAACAAGTAGCTTTTTATCAAAGGAGACTTCCTGAAATATTTTAATGTCAGCCTATTCTTTTTGGTACAGTGATTCTATGTATTACCTCTATCTTCTTTTGATGCTTCCTGACACATTCAAGATTTTACCCATAGCCTCTCTAATCATTGCAACACAGGGCTTGAATTTGTTTTTAAATTCTTTCAGCTTGAGAAATGCCTAGT